AAACTGATTTAGAAAAGGTTTTCAATTCATTTCAGAGGTATACCTCTGAAATGAATTGAAAACCTTTTCTAAATCAGTTTTCATTGCTGATTCAGAAAAATATAGTTCGAACCTTCCATCTTGCAATACAAGCTCAAAAAGTCAATTTCATCATAGAGAACGGTTTTGGGTATTTTTGAGGTCCTCTCAGTAATTTGAGTTTTTCTGCATGAAGAAATGGCTTTTGGAGGCTCGAAAGGTGTTATTCGTAATCAGCTCGTTAAGCTAAATCTGAATATGTATAATAATGCCAAAAAATAATTTCACTTGAAGTTTGCATTACGTGCATCTTAGGAAACAAGAAAAAAGACATCGAAATCTTAAAAATCAGATTATTGTCTGTCATTCTTTTCAAGGTTATCATTCATCGATATCCAGATATGCCACCAAAACCAAGTATGAATAGTCTTCTAATTGTTGTGACTAACAATGCATCATACATATGCAGTTTTTTTCCTTTTATCCTTGTGATTATAATTGAAATAAACAGGTGATACAATGTGTCATTTTCATTTTGAAAGTGTACAGGGACACAAAATATTATTTATTTCTTTCTTCAAAGGACCTATTGTTGTTGAACAATGGTTACCGTATAAACCCGCACCAAAACGTATTGTTAATCGTCCACTACCACGTGAAGCTCTGTTACCACCACCTCAACCTCGAAATATCATTATTGCTTATTCGAAACCACGTGCTTTAATTGAAGTGGAATTAATTCGTTTACCAGTAGTTAAAATTGATCCATATGAATATCAACAAATGGCAAATCAAATCGATTATCGGTCAATTACAAATGCAAGATCCGCAAATAATGATCTCAATTGGCGAATATAAACGAGTAGTATCGCTTATACAGTATTATTAGTATTATCCATGTAACTCTCTTTTTGATTGTCTATTATAAAAGAGAAAAAAAAAGAGAACCATTTTCCATTTTAGGCTAAAATATTTCTTTCAATTGATGGTTGGAATAGCTTTCTTTCTTCACGCCTAGGCAAATATTCCAGCAACACTTAAAAAGCGTACTTTATTACAAATAATAAAAATATTTGCAAATATATTTGACTTGTAAATAAAAAATAGGATAACAAGTCAAATAAAATATATCTGACATACATCAGGTAGTGACAATACATCAGATAGTGTATTTTGCGTAGCCATTGTATCTTTTCAGAAAAACCAGTCAACGAAATAAAGTAGACAATAGTCATACGATTACGATTCAGTATCTGAGATAAATTTAATCATTTTCCTTTTCATTTTGATTTTCTTGTGTTCTAAAGACAATTGATAGACGTAAAAACTATACAAATCAAGCGAACATTTACGGGCTGCATTTTAATAAGGAACTTTTTTATAGTTGGTGATTTTCATATTTAAATTTGAGTTTTATCTACAGAGAGCAAAATAGTTCTAAAGGATGAAGTTTCGCATATTTAAATGCCATTAAACAATTATTTTGCATACACCATTCGAATGAGCGTGAAATATTGTATAAACAAAGGGCTTTTTTAGATAAAAAGGTCAAATTTAATATAATTTTAGTTTCAAGAAAACAGGTCACTGATTCTTGAATTCTGTAAATCGACTTGGTCACCTTACTCTACTAAGTAAAATTAAAAAAAATTAGTTTTTTTGTGTTTGTCTTACAATGTTCCAATGGTGAGATCCTCAGAGCTTTAAGTCGTTCCATATTAAAGAGAAAAATATACTGAAGATTTGAGATGTGTCCGCACTCTGTACGTTATATTTTTATTCAGAAAGTATGATAGAAATGCAATAACTTATTTTTCAAAAACGAGGTGTTTGTATTTTTATCATACTTTTTGAACGAAAGATCGTATATAGTACGGGCACATCTCAAATCTTCAGTATATTTTTCTCTTTAATATGAAATGACTCAGAGCTCTGAGCATCTCGTTCGAATATTGTAAGAGAAACAAAATGTTAAAAAAGCATCCTGGAATTTCACTCCGGCAGCAGAGTTAGTTAGCCGAACCGAAATATCAATTGGAAAAGTAGTAGTAGTAGTATACGCTTTATTTTATAAAACTCTTTAAGAGGACCTTCATCAGAAAAACGACCTAGGTACCGTGAGGTTGTCCGGAGGAATATTTTATTTTATTTTTATTTATGTCTCATTCGAAAGAGCATACAAAATAACTACTAACCCTGCAGTAACTCTTTCTGAAAGTGCTTTTTTAAAAAACTAGAGGCCAA